ATTTATTTATTTTTTTTGTATTTTTTTCATTTGTTAAATATTTTTAACTTGTGATTTGTGCTGTTATGATATATTGTTTTTTTTCTCTTTTGTTTGATTAAACTTGGCGAAGTCGTCAACTAAAGTTGATATCAAGCGTCTGTGATTTATTATATGTTCGGTCCAGGCCTATTGTGATTTAAATGTTTTGGGCTGTAACAAATTTGGGGGCTCATCCGATTTTGAATAGTTTGAAGGATTAAATCGTTATTTTGTTTTCCCGCATGGCTTCGTTTGATCATTTGATCTGCTCGCGCATTATTGTTACTTTAAGTCACAGACGTTTTGAATTTAAATGGCTTGTATCGTGCTTTGTTTTTACCTGCCTTACTAAACATGTTTGACCTAACGGAATTTACTGCGAATCCTAAGCAAGCTGAATTATTTCAAATAAATAGAGCTCACCTTATGAAAATCACAGCTCATTATAATGTCAGTTTTAGAATCACAATGTCTAAACGTGAACTTCAGATATTGCTAGTTGATTCATTGTATAAGAAAAAAAAAACTAGAAGAATATCCAAAATAGTTAATCAAGTACACACACGCACACATACAAATCTCATGCAATAAAAACAACACACAAAATTACACGTTTCACTGTTCAAACGTACCATCCGCTCCTGTTTCCCTTGCCACAGCAAACCAAACCGCTTCTCTTTTTATGTGATTTTTGTAATCGTTTAAAGTTGTGTTGTATAAAACAGGGCACTGCTAAAATTAGCGATCCCTCCATGTTTTAAATTTATGTACCGAGAGGTCACTTTGTGACGTTTTGATCTTCTATTGGTCTCATGCATCCACGTGATGCGAATTCGCAGGTCAGAGTTCACCAAACTTAAACTTTGCTATGCAGCGAAATGCAAAATGTCTTCGCACGGGCTTGCGTTTCAAGTCTGACCATTAGCATGCGTATGAATGGAAGTCAATGGAACGAAAAGTCTAGTGTGACCCCGGCTTTAAGTTAGAAGAAGAGTGGGACTTTTCAGATTCTTCTAAGGGTAAGTGTTCAAACTCTAACAGTGGTTCAGACTAGGGCTGTCACGATATCAGATTTTTCACACCACGGTTATCGTGTCCAAAATAATTCATGATATCGATATATCGCAATATCTATAGAAACCTTAGGGAATCAGCCAAATAAATTTTTACTTAGTTTATTTAATTTTTCTTTTTACCCAATGAACATAAGGATACTGATTAACACAGGGCACATGCATTTTCACTTCTTCTTCAGATCACAGCTGACCTGAGACTCTGGCTTTCTCTGTCTTCTTTGAAGCTCCCTATGAAATAACAAGAGAGAAAATACTGTCAAGTTCAACAGTATGATGAATATATATTAACATCAAAACTGATACTTGAACCTGTTAATTTGCGTCCCCGTTTTTAATCTCTTTAACCTATAGTTGCACCGGTGCCAATGAAGTCATGCAGTTAACGTGCTTCTAATTCAGTATTAATGTGCACCCAGAACGACCGCAGATGAGGCATTAAGTGCATGGCACTGCGACCAACTTTACATTTTACAGAGTTTAATGTGGTCACTCAGTATTTCTAGATCAGTTTTAATCGTATAATAGATTTGAACAAAGAAATCAATTGCTACACAAAGGCAGTATTGGCCATGACTTGATTGCAAATACAAAAATTAGACGAGTAAAGAAAACGCAGTATTATATAAAAATAATCACACTTTTATTTAAATATATGAAAACAGGAAACTGCTGTTAACAGGTTAATGTAACATCTCCCATTCCATGACTAGTAAAATAATGACAACTTACTGTCTGGATAATATTGAACATGGTTCTTCTGAGATATATCCATCTGCAGACCCGCAGCATGGATACTATTGGTTCTTCTCGGAGCTGCGTCTTCTTCTTGTGTGACAGGTGTCAGCTTTAAGGCGCAATACTGCCACCTGGGAGGTCAACCAGGTACTGGCGCTGGAGTAGGCTATTTGCGTGTTGTGTTATCATAAGTGTCCTGTTCATTTAAAATATCGTGATTATCACCAATACCGGTATATCGTCACACCCTAAATTAACACGATGTCGATATTTCATTATTTGAATATAACGGTTATCGTCAATACCGGTATATCGCGACACCCCTAGTATATGCATTACAATCCACATTACAGTCAGTGGATGATTCGCTGAATTCGTAATTTGGTAGTTTGTTTTTGTATTTTTGTTGGTAATTATTTGCTCTCTGTCTTTTAAAAGTGATAACAACAAAATATCCACGGTCTTAGATTTAGAATGTCTAATCCAGGGCTGTCCAAATTCAGTCCTGGAGGGCCGGTGTCCTGCAGAGTTTAGCTCCAACCCTAATTAAACACACCTGAACCAGCTAATCAAGCTCTTACTAGGCATAGAAACTTCCAGTCAGGTGTGTTGAAGCAAGTTGGAGCTAAACTCTGCTGGACACCGGCCCACCAGGACCGAGTTTGGACAGCCCTGGTCTAATCAAATTATTGTACCCGATCAGATCTAATATAAATACCACAAAATTCGCTGTTGTTGGCACACTTTGTAGACCAAAAAAAAATAAAATGCCTTCGCAAAAATGAAGACAGAGACAGAGAGAAAGAGCAAAGGGAGGCTGCTGAAGGCAGTTCAACATTGAAAACATAAATACAAAGCTCCAGCAAGCCAGCAGATAAATCATCATAGAGAATATTTAGCAGTTTGTCACACTTAAATTTTTGTAATTAAGTATATTTCCCATTATAATCACTTGTATTGATACAAGTAATCTACAACACATCATATTTTATTAAAACCATATTAATAGCCAACCCGTTCTCATCAATCTGCGTATAAATAACACGACTTTACACTTTCTAATTGCGTGTAATGCATACGCCAAATGCCAATTTTGCGTGCATATGATACGCCAATCCTTCACATTAACTTCGGTGGAGAGCAGATGCGTACAAATACCACGCGTCATCTTCAGCGACAGTGACGTCACCAGCGAGGCTCAGTTCGTTCAGTTCACCTGATGCGCGTACACCTTCAAACAGGTAAGTAAGGGCAACAATCTTTTTTTGTAATGAGATCATTTGGTTAACGGTATTATTTTAATTATTTCAGTGTTTCTGCATCACGTTACATGGGGTCATGTGTTAAAATGGCAGCG